TTTGCCCTGAATTTTTGTTTCGCTCATCTTGTTTCTTAATATTGTGATATTGTTAGCAAATTATGCAAACGGATAAATGATCTGCGGCAGATGTCAATTTCAAGGAAGGTCAGGCAAGTCAGATACTTAAAGGTAAAAAAATATATTGAGATCCGAATTCTAAAAACACTCTCAACAGAGAAAGCATCATTAGGCCGTAAAAATAGCTAAAAATGTGATATTTCTAAGTCTTAAAAACCTGCTTATGTTGGCGGAGCAGACGACGAAGTGAAAAAACATGTGATGAATTGGTGGAAGCTCCTGTAGATGAGGAACAGGCGGACATTGGAGTTATACTCTTAGCCTCGGCTACGTCAGTCAATACAGCACGAACCTCTGAGAGTAACTAAATAAATAAATCATGATTTAAAAATACAAAAAAAGGACAAATGAATTTATTCTAAAAGTTGGCTAGTTAAGGCATTTCATTAAAATAATGACAAGATAGTAGAAATCCGAAATTATGGAAATGTAAATACAATCAAGTCAAGGAAGTGTAGGATCATAAGTAAGTTTATATTATTAGCTATGGTTCTTCTTTGGTTTTTATACTTTCAGTCTTTTACACGGAGGCAAAAAGTGATTTTAAGGTTAATTGAGAAAAATCTAAAAATCTAAAAATGTAAATAAGATTATTAAATAAGTGAAATTTAAATTAATAAATTAATATTATTAGAAGCAAGTGAGTTCATTAAACCAACAATTATTTTGTATTAGTTACATAAGAATTAGCCTAACGAGCTGTAGTGGCTAAATTGAGGATCAAGGATTATTTAAGTAGTATGCTAAAATAGAAATGAACTCATTTCAAAGTTTGTACATGCGGTGTTGTAATTTCACGCATTATGATTGCATATGAAGACAGATGAAAATGTAATTTTATCGAAAACTAATCTGATCTCAAGGAAATAAAAATAAAGGGCGGTATTTAAGAAAATTGCAAGAAAAGTGGACTTGGAATAAAATTCATCTTTAGTGAGCCAACCCACAAATATCGTGGTTCAACATTGAACATTGATACATTCCAAGACTTTTAGTAAGCATCGTAGTCGGTGAGTCTTTCCAGTCTTAGCAACAAAGCTAAAACTCGTCAAAGAGACAAGTGAAATCAATCCCTTAAACAACATTTTTGCCGAAACGGTTGTACTATCACTCCCTCTTCTGTTCTCGTCCATCTATAAACTCCTTACCCTCTTATCCCACTCCCGCCATATTACAACTTCTGATATATTTACATGCTATTCGTCAAAAATTTGGTCTAATTAAACCTGTTTTTCAATCTGCTCCCCTCTCTTCCGATCGGCTAATCCGACTTGAGCCTCCCTCATGGTCCAATAGATCCGTTTCTTATCTGTCTGGTCGACCGATTTAACTCGGTTCCAGTCCCAGGATAAATTTTACTCAGGCGTTGATTCTCAACCTCCTAGAAGAACGTACACTGCCACCTCACCGAATAAAGCGCAAGCGCTGTTGCCAAAAAGGGCACATATTTTGATGAGTGGAATGTAAACAAGTTAAAAGTTGTGATAGGGCGGGAGTGGGATAAGAGGATAAGGCGTAGATAAATAGGCCAGAACAGAAAAGAAGTGATAGTACAACCCTGTCGAAAGAACGTTGGTCGAATTGTAGCCGAGTGTTGAGAATGGCAAGACTAAATGATGATGCCGACTACGATGTCAGCGAAAAGTCTGATAATGTCCTAAGTGCATGGTTTGATGCTGGGAATTATAACTACCATGGTAGAGGACTTGGGACAAGGTACGTACCACTAAGTCGCTCTGACAACAAGAGCAAGTTGCGAAAACGAATTCAATCCACATTCATAAATCTAAAGGAGACTGTGACCATGCCTAAGGCACTGATAATTAACAAAAATTTGTAAAGCTCTTATGAGTTCCCTCAATTAGACATCATTTGCGCCTGTAACTATTAATATTCTAGGGATTATTGTCCCTTACTTCTTATAATATAACAAACACTACTAATCAATATGCGTATTCATAAGTTATTTCAAGAGTAATGTGTCGAACAACTATCTCTGTCAGGAAAAGTAAGCAATTAAGGCAAACAATAAAGCTTGATAGAATAACTTCCATAATAAAGTATATCTGATCACATATGCATAGTTGCAGACAAATCATTGTATGGGTTCGAGGAATATTTTAGGATAAAGGATATAAAACTTTTAGTATGACTAATTCGGCAAGCGACATTGCAGGGTTAGGTTGCGACACTTTTGCAAGGGATTAACCACCGCATGACAATAACCAGAATAAGGCTGATTTCGTACAAGAAAATAGTATCAAATACGTTATATGTGTTACTATTAATAAAAGTCAGGTTAAAAAAACAAGTGATAATATGAAAAGTAGCATTAAGGGTAATTTATTCCATATTTTTCAGCACCACCTCAAAAAGACAAGATTTTTATCAATAAACCAGGTTTATGAATATATAAAAAAATCCTCGTCAAATTATCATCGGTATTGTTCATCATACCTACCAGAGAGAAACCATTTTCTGAACCATCGAGTAGAACTTGCAGAGCAACATGATTAAGCATTGTCCTTGCAAATTCTGCATCTGTCAGGACAGATGGCTCGCAGCACCGAAAAAGCCGGCAAGCATGTGAATCAGCAATCTAAATTAAAATAAATAAGATTGAAATGAGATTAATGCCAAAAAAAGTAAGAAGAGCAACATCCAAGAAGAGGAAGAAAGTGTAAAATTAGAGAATAGTACTTTATTAAGTGCGAGGGGGATAAGTCACTGTATGTGGTTTTGACGAGCTAAAGGCCTGATATATTAGCTGCTCACGAAAAAATAAAGAGATTCCGATGTACCTGATTGAGGCATATATAAGTTAATTCAGGCTATATAAACTCAAAAAGGAAATAGAAGTGGGTTGACCTCATTGTCGCAACTTGGTCTTGTTTTCAGAGTAACCTAGTATAACTCACCTAGTCCGAAGTCATCTTCCATAATAGTTGTCATGATTTCCAGCATGACCC